TGAAATTCTGGATTCTTGGATTCTTGGAAATACAAAGGAAATGCTCTCATCTCAAAAAGTCTGCGCGCAAGACCATTTTTAAAGTTTTTTTTAAGCGTGTTCAAACAAACTTTAGAGTTGTGCCGTTCACGACATATGCCCCAGGGGGACCCGGAGAACGTCCACGTCCGTGCCCCCGCTACCCCCCTCCGTACGGCCCAAATACAGCCTCCGACCTGCTGCCCCATTGGGCCCGCCAGGCCAGGGTCATCACATTTACACTTCAACACGTCGTCACTAAATTTAGCCCTGCAAAACGTCCGCGTCCGGTCCGGTCCACTACGCCCTCTTTCCGAGCCACTAGTTCATCCCTTTGATAGACCAGCCTCCCACACCCCCACGTCCTGACCGCCCCGCCGCGTAGAATCGTTTGGGAGAGTGGGGGGGGGGGGGGGTGCTGAAACATGGACACCGCACTTCAACTTGACACTTCGGACAGTTTTGACGGGAGGCAGCATTTATCCAAATATTTAGCGGTCCGAACTACGTTCTATGAGCAGACCCTTGAAGAAGAACAAAAACATATCGTAGCGTAACGTAACGCGGTATCACATCAAAGCAACATAACCTGGTACAAATATTCGAACTACAGATTTTTGGGCCATGGATAAATTTTGATATGTTTTTGTTTCTTGTAGATGATGACTTAGGATAAAAACATAAAAACGCTATTAAATAGGACGTGGCTCGCTTTGTTTAGAGAGCAGCTCGAGCTTTTTTGCAAATGCAATACGCTAACGAAGACATGTGGCCTACAACCTAAACAGTGTATGCTTGACCCTTGATTTCACACCGATGAAATAAGCACGTACTGCATTTAAAACCCTTTTACTCGAAATCTTTCAAAACATTTCTAGTAGTCGTGGGTCGACGGAACGGATGCAGAGAGCAGTTTTGAGTGCCATAACCTAACCTCAGTTGACCTAGGCTCGAAGGCATTCTCACACCTTGTACTCACCGTTTGTAAAAGCTGCATTGGCGAAAAACATCTGGTGCAGTAGAAGACCCTCCGTCTGGTTTACCGGTAAAACTTCCTCCATCTACTTGACCGGGATGACTTCCTTCCGTTCTCCAGTGAGTGAACTGCTGACCTGCCGCGCCGCGTCTCACGTGCCAACTGCCAACGACGCCGCTCCAAATGTCCGATGTGGAGTCTCGGTTCTGCAAGTGCGCCATTCATTAGTGTAAATTCGTTCCAACGAAAGGATGTGACTGTTGTTACCTGTTATTCATAGCCCCGCTTCGTATTAGCACTGAAACGTGCAATTCGCATCGCATGCCTGCCGAGAGTGCCCGGCTGCCGAGAGACCAATGTGCATCACCCCCCCCC